CCCGCCAGCCTCCCTGACCAGGGGCGGGGGTGGGGGGGTGGGGGGGGAGCCTGGCATCTCAGTCTCCCTCTCCGTCCCCTTCTCTGGGCTGAGAAGGTCAAGTCCCTCCTGGGAGGAGAGGACAGGGTCCAGCAAAGAAAGAGATTCTCGGGGATGTTCCCCCAACCTCGTCACACAGTAATGACCACCTGCGGGTGCTCGGCAGACACCAGATTCTCCCTCAGGGGCTACATCCCATCCAATCCTTTTCACCCGGGAGGCAGGAAGTCTGATGGGCCCATTCTGCAGATGCGGACTAACGACCAGAGGCCAAGGCCGGAAAGGCACGCCGTCCGACCATCTCCTTCTGGCGAAGAACCCTGAGCAGGGACGTGACCTGTGCGCGGCCTCGCAGGGCGAAGGGCCGGCCTAGGAACCAGGCTCCCGTCCCGATGCTGCGGAAGAACGCAGCTCGGCAGACAGTGACTGACTTCCTACTGGCTATGAGATTTCCTTCAGGACATGGCAAAGTGTTTTGTAAGATGATAGATGTGATGGTTTCACAATACTGTGAATTTACTTAATGCCACTAAATGGAATACTTTACAATCGTTAATTTTACAATGTGTGCTTCAATTCAGAACAATTTCAACTCTATAAATAACACTTTTTAGTTCACTGTAATATAATAGTCAAGTCTTTGGAAAAAGCTAACCTTTTAATTTTAATGCATTCATTAAAAAAATAATATTAAGCCCATTGTTCCTTACATATCAATAGGCTTCAGGAAAAAATCACTCTATTTTTGAAAACCAAAAAATATGTTGAAAGTGTGGTTTTGATTTCAAAAAATGGACAAGGACCTGAATAGACACATCCCCAAAGAGGACATACAGATGCCCAATAAACATATGAAAAATCACCCCGATAAGTTTAGTAATCATTTTTTAATTGGCAAAAGTGTGGATTGGTTTTATATTTGTGCAAATCTATTTACTATCTGCCTGAATAGGGAAGGTCTGGACGTTCTTACCTGCTTCTTCCTCA